CCTGGGGGCTTTTCGTGGAGCCTTTGGATTTCACACAGCATTAAACTTGGAACCCCAACAAAAACGTGAGCTTAAATATCAGCTCGTTCTTTTTTGAGTTCTTTTCAGCGTAACCAAAATTTAACGTCTAAGTGATGAGAGGCAGGGGGAGAATGTTTGCAGGTGACACATTTCTTCCCTTGGAGTCCATCCTGGCCCCCTGGGCTTTGGGCGGGCGGAGTGGGCATCTACAGCCTGTGCCTGAGTCACCTGTGCACCTGGGCAGGAGGAGCTGCAGCTGACAGTGGCAGCCACTACGGCCCTGATCGAGGACACAGCCTGGCCACATGCCAGCAGGGTGCCTGCAATTCTGTCAGCCAAGCCAGGAGGGTAGAGCACACGGAGCCTCCTTCCCTTTGGGGAGCTCCGCTGCCCCGGGAGGAAGGAGAGGAGAGGAGAACGGGGTTGGGGTGGGGGTGAGGAATCCACTGGTGGTGGCAGCCTGAGCTTGAGCAACCTCTGTGCCTGGAAGCAGACAGGAAGGTGACTAAGGCAGGCTTCACGGAGAGGTGGCCTCTGAGTTGAGTCTCAAAGGCTGAGTAAGAGTCTGCCAGGCAGAGAGGGGAGGGAGAGGCATTCCAGGCCCAGGGAGTGTCCGGCACAAAGGCCAGGTCTGCGAGAGCCGAGGGTCCGGGAGGTGGGGAGACACACCATCCTACCGGTGGGCCATCATCGGGAGTGATGAGGGCGGGAACAAGGATCAGACGCTAGCGGCCACAGCAGCTCTGCCTTACACTTTGGCCAAAGAGGGAGCAACAGTCCTGTGTAGGATGCCAGGTATGAGATGGAGAAGGCATGAGAAGTCATAGGCACATACAGGAGAGATTTCATTGTAGACCAAGTAGCCATTGCTACTGCAGGAGCCACCAGACAAAGTAGTTCTTCCAAGCCGCCCCACAAAAGCAGCCCCACAAAGCGGCCAGCCCACCTGGCTGGTCAGTGGCAACTTATATACACGCTCAAACAAAAGAGGCCTCGTGCCAATGAGTGATACATGCTCGTGCTACGTTAACATGAACAGGTTACATCCTCACCTGCACGCAAGCGCATGGCAAATTGGCCTTGACCGTCCGGCATACGCTGATTAGGGTTCCCACCTGAGGTTTGCTCAGACCAGGAGGAAGGAGTTCAGGGGCCACGCGGGAAGCACCAGGGCGGTCAGGAGGCAGGGCGGCAAGCAGACAGCACGGACAGGAGCCTGGGTTGTGGTTCTGCAGGAGACAAGGAGGGCGCAGTGAACAGTCTGAGGTTGGCCAGTCTGGGTCAGGTTGGCAGGCTCTGGGCTACAGAGGGTCCCTCATGGTCCCGGCCCTGCCCGGGTGATTAAGGGCAGGGGCTTTTTAGGGGGCTGTTGTGTGTGAATTAAAGAAGAGGGTGGGCCCTAACGGGTTTGGCTCAGTGGATAGAGCGCCGGACTGCGGACTGAAAGGTCTCAGGTTCGATTCCGGTCAAGGGCATGTACCTTGGTTGCGGGCACATCCCCAGTAGGAGATGTGCAGGACGCAGCTGATCGATGTTTCTCTCATCGATGTTTCTAGTTCTCCATCCCTCTCCCTTCCTCTCTGTAAGAAATCAATAAAATATATTTTTTTAAAAAAGAAGAGGGTGGTTGGGTGTGCTATCTCTAGGAATCAGCAGCTCTGGAATGTCAACGCATCATAACACACAAAAACCACAAACCGTGATCAACACATCCTCCCCGTGTGGCCACGGACCCTTCCAAGCGGGTCTGTAGGGTCCTCCCTTTTTAGCCACTTATCTGTGTGAGGCAGTTTCTCTTCACATACTTCCACCCAAACAACACACACAACAGATTGCTGCGGAAGCAGACAGGCAAGGCCAGCTGTCTCCCGTGCAGCCAGACGCCAGAGATTGACAACACTCCGCTCACGACATTCTGTTGTTGTTTCAGACGCTATCGTTATTTTTTATTAAAATGGTTATTTATATTAACGTACTGGGTTTAATATTGTTTTCAGTAACTAATATTCATTGTTTTAGAGTAACTAATAAATAAGCGCTTTAAAATGTCCTCACATTTAGTTTCTAACATGATAAATATCAATAGCCATAATTCACATAAACCAAAGCTCTTTGGAATCCTCAATATTGTTTTTTAAATCTTCACCCAAGGATGTTTTCCATTGATTTTTAGAGAGTGGAAGGGAGGGGGAAAGACAGAGAGAAACATCAATGTGAGAGAGACACGTTGACTGGTTGCCTCCCACACAAGCCCTGACTATGGAGGGGGATGGAGCCTGCAACCGAGGTATGTACCCTTGACCGGAATCGAACCCCAGAACTTTCAGGCCGCAGGCCAATGCTCTATCCACTGAGCAAAACCGGCTAGAAGTTCTGGAAGCTGGAAGTCCAAGACCAAGGCAGTGTCCGGTGAGAGCCCACATCCTGGCTCACGGACAGCATCTCGCTGTGTCCTCACATGGACGAAGAACTCGCTCAGGAAATCTCAAGGGCTGTGAGCACTCCCTTCCCTCTGACAGCGCCGTGGGACCAGCTCTCCCAGGCCCACAGACCAAGTTCCGCTGAAACCCGTTAGCACTGGATCTGACCCTTCTGGTATCTGCCCCCTCGCCCCGGCCCAGGTCCTGGCCATCCTGATGGACGTGTTCACGGACGTGGAGATCTTCTGTGACATCCTGGAGGCGGCCAACAAGCGCGGGGTGCTGGTCTGCGTGCTGCTGGCCCAGGGAGGCGTGCCGCTCT